CCTTCCAATGAGCAGTCAGGGTTGATTTCCTTTAAGACTGACTGGTTTGACCTCCTAGCAGTCCAGGGGTGCTCCTCTGCATACCTCCCACTGTATGGACAGAAACCCTCAAGGACCACGCACCGCACTGGCTACGGTTCTTCAGCCAACCGTGAATCCATCTGGTAGTGGGACGGTCCATCCCACATCGTTTCAGTTTATCAGAAAGAGGCTAGGGAAGAGCCGTTCTCCCCACCCCACCACGCCAACGGCTGGCATTATTCCTTCAACATGGGGTCTCCGGAAGGCCCTGAGAAAAGCAGCCCCTCCTGATGCCAGATTTGCGGGCAAGACTCCAGCAGGTCCTGGGAAGTCCAAGGGCCAGCCCTTCACCACAGCAAGCCTTTCTCAGGGGAGGTGTTGGGGGTCCAGTTCTGCTGCAGGAGGAACAAACAGCCAGACAGGAGTCCAGCCCCCACGTGGGTTGCGCATCCCCCACCCTGAGGGCTCTCGGTCCAAAATAGCAGCCCGGTCCAAAATGAAAGGGGATGGCTGCCATGCTGCTTCGACCAGAAGAGTCCCCTCCCCACCCCTCACCCTTCTTTCTTTGGGTACAAAGGAAGAATGAGGAGTTTCTGTAAAGACCAACTCTGGGCTCAGCATTGGAAACAAAAGGATTCAGGATGTCACGTAACGAGTAGACATCAAAGAACAAAAAAATGCTTCCTTCTTTTTAGAAATGAAGGCCTGTTTTTGTTTTTGTTTTAACTTGGCCTTTTAAAATTGTTTTGAGTGAGTTTATTATTGTTCTAAATCTTTCAGGATGCTTTTATGGATGGTTATGTTTTTATCAGTGCAACTGTTGTACATCAGCTTGGTGGAGGCAGTATCAAATATTCATAATATTAATAAATACATGTGGCAATAACCTGCTCTGTCGATCTAACTGCGGCTAACGGCAAAGAGCGGAGGTTCTCCTGATGCGAGCAGAGACTGCGGTTCAGCCTTTCTGAAATGCCTGACTTTTGGATGTGTTGGACCACAGTTTGCACCATTGTTCTCCAGCTGGGGAGGATGGGAGCTGTGATCTCATCATCTGGAGGGCGTCAGAAGAGATTACTCTTTGGGGCTTTCCAGATAGAGAAGGTAGGATCAAGAGGAGAGTCACAATGACAATAACGAAGATATCTCCTAAAAAATATCTCCTAAAAAGGAGAGCAATAAGCTTGGTTGAGGCTGAGAAAGTTGGTAGAAAGTCAATGCAGATCAAATTCTGAATAATTTAGAAGTGAGTATTAAAGAGCACGAGAAGAGCAGATTAGAAACTAAATCATGAAAAAGACAAACAATTAGACGGGAGAGAAATTTAGTTCAGCGCCACAAGGAGATGGATGGGAGAGTTTTAAAATTTCATGGTAACATTTAAAACAGTCCTGACAGTGGTTAAAATACAGCCTCCCTTTTTTCTATCTAATTATGTATTTTATCTTCCGGGGCAATCAAAGAAATAGTAAGCATAAAACTGATAAATTGGTTTAGCAGTTTATTATATTAAACACGGCCAGACTGAAAATCTGCTGACAAGAATGAGGGCCTCCTTGCCCGCCAAGGAAAACGCAGGACGTGTTTCCTCAGAGGAGACCTTTTGCTGAAAAGAGGCAGAAACCCCCCAGAGAGCCCCAGATAAAGGGGGGGGAGGTTAGATTGGATGCTCCCAGAGGCCCCTTCAACCTTACAGTTCTTTAAAATGGGCCTTTGAGGAAATTTAGAAAGAAGGGCAGGTGAGGGCCTTTTGCCTTTACAGTCCCAGATCCGGGAGAGCAGCCACCCCCTCCTCCCCCTAATTCCCCAAAGACCCCCCCCCGCAAGAAATAGGCTGAGCATAGCGGCAGGGGGCACAGGACCCTCCTTGGAAGCCTGCTGGGGAAGGAAGAACAGGCGGGAGGAGGAGAGGGGTCGGGGGGCTCATCCTCCTGCCGCCTGACCAGGGCATGAAATGGCCCCACCAGCTCTTCTTAAAGGACGCCACGAGCCCCGTGGTCTCATCCACAGCCCCCTTTAGGGCCTGTTCCAGTTTCGAGGGAGGGTTTCCCTCTTTCCCCGCCACAAGTCTTGATGTACAAACCACCTGCGATGATTCCTCACTGGCAAAGTGGGCAGGGGTGGAATCTGCCCCCTGAGGCTGCCATGGGCAGCCCCCTCCCTCCGGACATGGCCTTCCATGGCCTTCCATGGCCATTTTGGCTTGGGCTACAGGAGAGGCTGGACACGTGGCTTCTGCGGTGGCCGAGGCGTCATCGCCTGCCTAACGCCTGATGGGGACTTTCCGAAGTGCGGGGGGACCTTACCGCCTTCCGGCTTTGAGGCCCAGGACTAGCCTTTTGCGTGTGCGTGAGAGAGGGCTGGGAGAAGGAATGGCCTGGGGGCCTCTCCCCCCCCATTCATCCAGGACACCTGAAACTGACTGGGGGGGGAGGATGGGGGGGTTGGAAGCAGGGGACCTGGCTGGGGGAGTCTGGCTGAGATCCATTGACCTGATCTCAATTACCAGCCTGTCTGCGCTCCTCCCCCTCCCCACAGGCAGCTGTGGCTTCCACCTCTGGATCCCCAGTCCCCTTGGGCAGGCAAAAGGGGGGGTGCCAAGCAGGCCCTGCCCCGGGTTCTCCCCAAACCTGCTGTGAGACAGAGCTGGGCTGGGGGGGAGACGGAGCCAGTCTCGGGGGGGCAGGAAGTGCTCCTGAATGCCAGAGCTCCACCCTGGTGCTAAATCTGGGTCCAAACCCATCTCCTACCAGGCCCATGTCCCTTGAAGGCACTGGTGCAAAACACTTGCACAGAAGCAAGGCGAGCAAACTGTCTGGCGTGGCCATCTCCGAATGGATTACCGATCCAGCCCACATAAAGGGCTGCCACTTGTATGTTTCTGCTGGCAGGTGATGCCACGTGTCAGGCAAAAACAGCCAGGGCAGTTTATTTTATTTTTTATTTTTTTATTAAATTTATATGCTGCCCATTTCCCCCAGAGGGAGACTCTGGGCAGTTTACAATTAAAAAATTGTATTACAATAAAGCAATAAAAATATAAATACCCCCCAATTAAAACACAAATAACAAATCTATAAAACAATATACAAATCCAGAAGATGGGGAAGCAGTATCAATCATCCCACGAGCCAGCTCCAGCACTGCGAGCCCCCGTCAGGCCCCCAGGCCATCCAGCATAGCCAGGATTTCACGCTCTTCCTGAAGGCCGTGAGAGTGGGTGGAAAGTTGTTCCACAGAGCAGGGGCCACGGCAGAAAAGGCCCTCTTCCTAGACCCCGCCAGTTGAAATTCCTTGACTGGTGGGGTCCGCAACATGCCCCTTCTGCCAGACCGAGTGGGGCGGGCTGATGTAACAGGGGCAAGACGGCTCCTCAGATAACCTGGTCCTGTGCCACGAAGGGCTTTAAAGGTGATAACCGGCACCTTGAATTGAACCTGGAAGCAAACCGGCAAGCAATGCAGCTCGCGAAACAGCAGTATTATTTGTGCTCCCCAGGGGTATTCAAAACTGTCCGTGCCACAGCATTCTGCACCAGCTGAAGCTTCTGGATATTCTTCAAGGGTAGCTTGTAGAGCGCATTGCAGTAATCCAGCTGGGAGGTGACCAGGGCATGAGTGACTGTGCAGAGGGCCTCCTGATCGAGGAAGGGGCATAACTGCCACACAACACAAAGTTGCGCAAAGGCCCTCCAAGCCATGACTGCCACCTGCTCTTTGAACAGGAGTCGTGAGTCCAGGAGGACCCCCAGATTACGCACCGTGCCTGTCTGGGGTAGTGCCCACAGCCACTCTGTCTTACCAGGGTTCAGCTGAAGCCCGTTGTCCCCACAGCCTCCAGGCACCGCGAGAGGATAGCCGCAGCATCACTTGGGTCACGCGGGATGGAGATATATAACTGGGTATCATCAGCAGACTGATGATACCTCACCCCATGATGCCGGATGATCTCACCCAATGGTTTCATGTAGATGTTAAATAGGAGTGGCGAGAGCACCGAACCCTGAGAAACCCCACAAAGTAGGGGCCGCGGGTTGGATCTCTCACTCCCTATCACCACTGATTGGGTCCGGCCTTGGAGAAAGGAGCCGAACCAGCACAGCTCTATGCCACCCAGCCCCAACTCCTGCAGCCGACCCAAAAGGATACCGTGGCCGATGGCATCGAAAGCCGCCAAGAGGTCAAGAAGAGCAAGGATGGACGCACTACCGCCATTCCGCTCTCACCAGAGATCATCCCAAAGTGCCACCAATGCTGTTTCTGTCCCATAACTGGGCCTGAACCCTGACTGGAAGGGGTCCAGATAATCCGATTCCTCCAGCATCCTCTGAAGCTGCCTCGCGACCACCATTTCCACCACCTTTCCTAGAAACGGAATATGGGAACGAAATGGACAAAAATTGTCCCGAAGGGTGGGATCTAGCGATGGTCTCCTGAGGAGGGGGTGGAGCAGGGCCTCCTTAAAAGGCTTTGGGAACACCCCCTCCTGCAAGGATTAATTGACCACCGCCAGAACCCACCCTAAGGTCACCTCCTTGGTGGCTTTAACCAACCAGGAGGGACAGGGATCTAAAATACAGGTAGCCGTGCTAACAGCCCCAAGGACCTGTCCACTTCCTCAGGGGCAACAGGTCAAACGGTTCCCAGATAACTGGGGAAATCTGCTCCCCGGGCATCTCCACTGGGCCTGCATCACGCTTGGCCTCCAACTGGGAATGGATCCGAGTTTCGCCATCCCTGTCCTTCCTTGCCCCCCCATTAAAGCATTCCTTGGCTTCCTTCCCAAAGAATGGCAGCAACTCGAAGGGTTGCCCCTTGCCCTGCTGGCCTGGCCTGGCCTGGCCTGGCCTGGCCAGGAATGTGGCTGTAAGGAAGAGCCCACTCCCTCTCACCTCTGGACTTGCCCACCCACTTTGGCCTCACTGTTTCGGTGATGGCTCCGCCCACCATGGGCATGCTCCTTCCGGCCAATGCCATGCCCACCGGGCTTGCCCTGGCTCTTGGGGAGGGGAAGCTCCTTGGCAGGAGACCCAGGTGGCACAGGCTCTGCCCTGTGGCTGAAAGCACCACTGGGCCAGTTTGTAGAGAAAGGGAAAAAGTTTAGCTCTCCATGCACACTTCATCCCCGAAGCTAACAAACCACGGGAAATCTCTCCACAGTCCAAACTTGATGGGCTACCCAAAACACGGAGAAAATATGTTTTGCCCTGTATTTAACGCTGTCAAGAGGAACACTGCAGTATCTCTTACACAACTCAACGTTTAGCTACCTGGGTCACAGCGCTGGAGTTGCAGAGTTAGAGCTGCTCCAAGCTCTTGCAGGTTGGGGGGCCAAAGCGGCTGCCCCCCGCCCACTACCAACCCCACACTCTGAACTAATGGACTACTTTTTTCCAGAATACTCCGGAGGGTTTGCCCGCCTCCCCGTCACCAGCCTGGCAGATCAATGAGTGAACAGCCTGTTCAGGTTTGCCAGGATGTTTTTATGTGCTTGCTTCGCATAAAGATCACCAAGGGAATGGCGCAGCCCGAAGCGACGTCTGCACTCCAGCGAGGTAAATCCTCTCTTGATTTCCCTGCCTTTCAGAATGGCTGATTTTATCCTCTGTAGCTGCAAATGGAAGAACAGTAATATTAAAAAGGGGGGGGGACCCAGCACCGAGTTTGGTATCACCTTCATGGCCATCTGCTTATGACAGCACCCAAGTTTATGGACGAAAAAGTGCAAGGCCTTTTTAGTTGGTGCACACACTTGCACTCCCAGAGACGGAGGGTGGAACTACTGTACAGTCAGCCGACAGACCAAAAGGCAATTACCGTCTGAGCCCTTTTCATACAGAACGTCACATTTGTCTAAGGAAAACAAAGGGCCTGCTCAGATAAAGCTTCACCGCACCTTCCCGGTTCCTCAAAAGGATTTCCAAAATGGTTATGTGCACCGTGACCTCTCACCCACCCGCACAGTGGGTCTGGTTGCATGCAAAAAAAAGCTGGGCATTTCCCTGAGAGCTGGGGAGCGCACAGCCTCTGCGGCTCCTTTCTGCTTGGAAGACCCACTTGGGAGCCCGGGAGCCAGGCCGCAGGATGACTCACGGTTTTAGGCTCTGGAGTCAGAAATACATACGTCTGCTCAGCCGCAGAGCAGGGGCCACCCCTTGGGATCGCTGGGCATGGAACGAAGGCCGCGCGTGCGGGTCCCGCGAGTCCCAGACTGGGTGTGTCTGAGTTCTGCTACTGAAAATGGGAGAGAAGGGGAAAGGGTTTTGGTGCCTGCCAGCTGGGAGGGAAGGCGAAGAGAAGCGACGAAGCATTGGCAGGCCTGCTGAGAAGCTGGTCCCTGTTGCGGGGCGGCGCCTAGCTGTGCCTGAGCATGAAGGCGCTGCTGCGCTCCTTGGCCAGCACGGAGACGCCAGTGTTGCCTCCTACCTCCACGTAGCGGTGGGGGCAGGGGTTTCTGTCACCCCCAGAACAGCGAAAGAGCTTCTTTCCAAGCACGGCACTGCACGGAAAACCTATTGCTAGGAAGTGGAGCTGCTGTGGAGGGCAGAGATTTTTTAATCACGCCTTTATTATTTTTTATAAATAACTCAAGGCGGCGAACATACCCAATCCTTCCTCCTCCTCCTGTTTTCCCCACAACAACCCTGCGAGGTGGGTGGGGCTGAGGGAGAGGGACTGGCCCAAAGTCGCCCAGCTGGCTTTCGCGCCCAAGGCAGGACTAGAACTCAGAGTCTCCTGCTTTCCAGCCTGGGCCTTCCCCATGAGACCAAACTGGCTCTTTGACCTTTGGGGATCTTCCTGATTCTTGGTGGAGGGGCAGGCTCCCAGCCCAGGGGCCCAGCCACGGCTCCACCTTCCAGTCTTCCTCCTTGCTCTGACCCGCTTCTCCATCTTTGGAGACCCCCGGCCCCTTCGGCCAGACCAGATGAACATTTGGCCTTCTCGGATGATGGAAGCCAGAAGATACCCAACAAAGATCCTGGTAGTGTGGGGAGGGGGCAGGCGTGGGGCAGAGGCCCACAGTGATTCATATGAGTCTGCCCCTCTGCACGGGGCGGGGATGGGACCAGCCTTCAGGTCTGTTGGAGGGAGAAAGGGAGGGCAGCCTTCCCTTCGGGGTCGAGGGTGGGAGAAGCCACCAGTTGTGTGATTTGCATCCAAGGCTGGGAGCGAAGCCGCCTCTGCTGAAGGGGAGGGAGTCCAGGGGGGCTCGTGGCCGCAGGGAGCTGGCCGGAGGCTTCTGAGAAGCAAGTGGAGCCTCCATGTTCGAAAGCAGTTTGCACCACAGTGGATGCAGAGCTGAAGCCGGAAGGAACCGGCCGGGGCCGCCTTCCCAGGATTCAGGCCGGTCCCGGTTGGAGACGAGATGCTCTCCTTGAGTTCTTACTCAGAGGGGATGGATTCGGCCTCTTACGTGGAGCCTCCATGTCCAGAGATGGTACTCCTGATGCTGTTGGGCAAAGAGGAGGAAGGGCTCCTGGTTGGGTCACTTGGCAACTCTTCGCTGGCAGCCCCGGGAGGAAGGGGCTGCATCAGAGAGGGTCACCCCTGCGCCTTCGGAAGGGGAGGCAAAACCAAGAGGACGTGGCGTGCAGTGATGCTCTGCTGCCACTAAGTGGAGCGTCCACGTTCAGGGGGATAGCCTGGAATAATGTGTGTGCGTGAGAGAGAGAGGTCCCGGGTGGAGGGATGGGCACGGGAAGCCCAGCCCCACTTTCTGTAAACCAGCATGATCTTGGCCACTGATCCCAAGCAGTGACAGGGACACCGTCCAGGAGAGAGCCCAGCTATTTTATTGACTTGTAGCATCACCGAAGCAATGAGCGTGAAACTGAGCAAACTCCGGGAGGCAGCGAAGGACAGGAAGGCCTGGCGCAATACGGCTCATGGGGTCACAAAGAGTCGGACATGACTTAACGACTGAACAGCAACAACAATGTCACATTTATACAGCCGCCCATCTCACACAGAGTGACTGTGGGAGGCGTACAACAATTAAATGAAATAAAAAATGGATAAAAATAATCATTAGAGAAAGATAAAAAGTGATTATTAAAA